CATTTATAGTCACCTTGATCTAGGCTATCATATCTGGGGCATTAAGTTCATAGCTCCTTTCAATAGATACTATCCACCGTCCACAGCGAGGTGTATCCTGGGATCTATCTAGGAAGACTACCTATAGTAGGGGTTTGGTCGCCTCGACCACTATAGGCCCCCATTCATATTCATACATCTACCTTAATTTGCTTGATGGTGCATACCCGTCTAACCCTAGAACTCCATACCTAATGTAGAAGCATAAAGTAGGCTAATAGAGAATATTAGGGCAACTTACCAAAACACAATCAAGGATAGAATAGCAATAGAATCAACTAGATAGACACATTCATTCATTCAAACACTAAAATATCCATACAGACATAGTAAACCCTAAAACTAGGGTTTGGGGTTTAGAATCCCTAGTAACTTAGAGGACTACTCCATAAAGGAGTAAAGAAGATACATAGAAGAAATTGAAGAAGACTTGAGGTTGAGGAAGATGCCTCCTCTCTTCTACCTCCTTCTCTTCTTCTCCTTCCTTCAGCTTCTCTATCTTCTCTCTATCTAAAACCAGAAATTCTTCTCTCAAAATCAACTCTTCTAAAAGGAGGAAATGGGTCTCCTATTTATAGGAAATCAGAGAACGAACAAGTTCGCGGCCAGCAAGGTAGAGATTGCGGGTGGGATCTTCAGAGGGGAGACCGCTATCTTGAAACACAGTCGTACTGGCCTTCGGGATTGAGGAGATCGCAGGCTGACTTGGTGGTCGCGATCCACAAGTCGCGACCGTTATCTTCCTTGCGACCAGAAAACACTTTGGCATTGATTCGATCAGGGAAACTCTCTATTTTTCATAGGCTCCTTCTTCGCGAAGTTCGCGCCCTGAGCCCTCCAATTCGCGGCTGCGAACTTAGGTTTCCAGGCCGCGATCTTCAGCGAGACTTCACAGTCCATCATCTCGATCGTGATCTTTCTCTTCTAGGCCACAATCTTCAGTCTCATGTCCCCTTACTACACTTGTGACCTTGTTTTGTACCTAATTCACATATATCGTCTAACACATCCTAAAATCACATTGAATTCAACTAGGAATGAAATAGGGATGCAATTGACGATGTTCAAGTAATTATTCACGTGAATTGGCACGAAACAAACCTCAATATGAAAGGTAAATAACACCAATTTAGGTGTTATCAACTATTAACTCTAAACCCAGAGGAGGGCTGGGTCGTGGCCCACCCCCATATCCGTCTCTTGCTGATAATAGATTTATAGGTCGTTTGCTTGTCGGAATTTTATAGGGCCATGCGGGTTCTCCATAATAATCATGACCCATTCCTTTAGATAATTTCGCTCTTAATACAGAACCACCGCGTTGATGCCATAGATTAAACCATGCCGCTAGTCCACCTCGAAATGCAAGCACTAAGCCCTTTAAAGGATTTTGCATCAAAATCCCAAACTCATGGGATTATGCACAAAGTCTATGTTTGGTATTAAAGTGATATTGGATTATGGTTTGTGGGCCCATGCATGTGGGATTATTTTGAGGGCAAAATTCATGGGGTCCACAGATTAGAAAATTTTACCCATTTAGTTGGGATTTTGTGTGAGGCTAAAATCCATGATGCCCGTGATGGTAAATGACAGGTCTTTCCTCATCTCTTTCCAATATTCCTATATTGAACCTCAAGGACACAAATTATTAAGAATACAAATGTAAATTCGGCCTATTATTAATAAATCCCAATGACACAAATCTCATATGGAATCCAACAAAAAACGAGTACTTTTCGAAATCCAACATAAATCCAAAATGACAAAATCTCACATAATTCTTCAATCATAAAATCTAGAGCTTTACCTGAATCCTTCATTGTTTAAAATCCTACAAGCAAACCACCTCTTAGTCATACTATCCCGTAAGACATCCCATATATGTTAATAATAACCTGTTGAAAACCCGTCTGAACCATGGGCTTTGTTCAGACACATCTGGTCAAGGAAAACCTTAACCTCCTCCACGTGAAAGGCTATAAAATATGAGGGTTCATACTCTCAGAGACTCTTGGTTGGAAGAAATCCAATGCATAGTTGTTGTTCGGCTCCGACCCTTTAAACAACCCCTGGAAATAATTTGTTAGACACCAAGTCACTTAATTCCTTTTCCCCTCTGAACATATTTCCATCCTCGCTCCTCTATTCACTGGTTGTACTTTGTTTTACGAGATGTTGAAGCTTTAGCATGAAAATTTTTGGTGTTTTTATCGTCATCCTTTAGCCTATCCACGTCATTTTGGCTATTTTCTCCAATCTTCTTCAACCACTTTTATATTTTTCTTTCCTCCACTTAGATAAGTCAACCTCACACTTTCTCTTGACACCTAGAATATTGCTATGTATTCCACTACATCCTTGCATACTGGGTCCTTGAGCAAAAAAGAGTCCACCTGAAATACCACCCCGTCATATTTCATTTTCTCTTTTCTTTTAGAGCAAAACGTAAAGGAAGATGATCAAACACAGACCAGTCCACATATGTAACTCTGTAATTGAGAAATCTACTCATCCAAGATGGATTTGCCACACATCTATATCTCGAGTATTCTCCCTTGTATAAAGATAACCTTCGAACCCACAATCTAAAAGGTTGCATAACTCAAGGGCATCTCGAAATTGGGTTGCCAAAGCTTCCTTTATAGGTCTTCCCCCATCCCAATTTTTTCAGTTCCTACAAGTGTATGATTAAAGTCCCCATGTGCACCAATTGCAAATTATTATGTCACGTAAACATTTTAATAGATCCCAAAATAAATGAAGTTCTTGTTGTTCGACCTTCCATAGAAATCTGTGAATCTCCATGAAGGTCCTTCATCCAAAACTAGGATATCAACGTCCATATAATATAGAGATGAGGTTTTTTTAGAAACACTGATGCTTTCATGCCATAAAAGGCATAGCCCACCCGTTGTGTCTCTAGACACTACTTCAAATCCTTTTCGAAACCTAGCTACCCAATAGTTTCCTTCCATCCCAATTCCGATAACTCTTTTTCTACAATTGTAGCTAAAGATTCTCATTTAAGAGAATGAAACTGACGGTAATTGGTGCAAGGAGAGAAAAAGAGTGATGTCTGATAAGATGAAATTTTGTGACAGAGGGAAGACGAAAAGACACAAGAGAGAAACAAAAAGATAAGGACAACCATTGGAGTCCGTAGAAAAATACCATGATAAAGGTAAGAGAGGATTGAGAGGCAAAAATGCAAATGATCAAAAGGAAAACCGAAAAATAAAGCTCCGATCAAAGCATAAGAGGAAAAAACATCTCATCATACTGCATGGAGACGAAAAGGATAGGTTTTCAATTTTCATACACAAATAATTTCATTTACGTGGTGAAGAATTTTATGCTGGCTACAATGGGGGAACTAATAAAGGGAAATAAGAACTTATGGAGCAAACTTTTAAACAAAATGAGTTGCAGCTCGCAATTAATGGTCAATAGTTCAATGTGGTTCACCACTTAAATGCTTAACTTGTGTGACTAAGATAAAATTCATACTTAGAGACCCTTGATGTTAAAGTTTTTTCACGTAGTTTCTTGTTTCAAACTCCATATAATAGTGTTTGGCCTCTCGATTGCCTAAGCACAATCATCTATAAGTTCTTCCTCATATACTGTAGTTTTCCCGTGATTTTTTCCCCCTTAATAGAAACAAGCCATTTTAAAATCATGTCAAATCCCTCCTTTTGCTTGTCCAGATTTCTCCTCTCATTTTTAAATTTAATTTACTCCAACATCTCATTGCATAACAACTTATAACTCACAACCATCCAAACATCTATCACAACTATATGTCATAACAAAATATCACAACTCTTCCATCACTAAGATGAAGCATACACACACTTTAAGAGCAATAACTAACTATAGAATTCTCCTTGAAGTTTCTGAAATGGTTGTAGCCAAAACCTTCTTTATTGGAGTTGATCATGAGCTCCACATGAAAGTTGTCATTAGCATGCTCTCTCAAGTCTCAACATACCATTTCATCATGATTTTGGCATAGCTTAACCAACCAAACACAATTTTTTCCTGCATGAGTTTATAGGTATATTTTTTTCCTCAAACTTTTAGGTTCTTTCCCTCAAAGAACTTCAAGAAATCCTTTTATTCTAGAGTAATCCCCAGATTTTCAATCTTCTTTCTTATGTAAATTCTTGTCATTTATTTTATCAGGCTAATACAACTACAATACATGAACTATCCAAAAAAATGTCACTTGTGTCCTATTTTACTCAATATTTCATTCATATCCTGAACTATATGAGTTTTGTGACATTTGTGTCATGATTTCTTACGTTGACCTTTAGAGATAACTGTTAAGGAGACAAAGGTCTTCAGATTCTACGTGCTCACTACTTTCCTCAATCCATTGTTGACTTTTGCCAGATCCTCGTCAGCATCTTGTTAATGTAACTGACATAATCACTAATAAATGTTAAAGTTTTTAATAAAAGTGGCTAAATTTGTCAAATATGTTTCAAAATATGAATATTTTGTGTATTTCTCAGAAATTGGCTATTATTGTCACAAAGTCGTTAATAATGACTATGCAAGTGAATTTAGTTAATTTCACCTTGCAATATTTTGCTGTCGCTAAGTCAACAAAAACCTTAATCAAGTCACATCTAAAATAACTCTATTAAAGTTTTGGATGAAATTGGACAATTTGTGTATTTCTAAAAAATTGTCTATTATTATCACAAAGTAAATAATTATGACTATATAAGTTTATTTAATAATAATATTGTATAATTAATTTGGAATTTCTTGAAAAATTCATCCAATAAATCGGTAGGATGAACGACGCACAAATATGGTATAAATTTTCATTAAGTCCTCCACGCCAAGAAACATGCTCTCATGAAACAAAAACCGTTCTCTCACCAATGTGATAATTTTTCCTTGAGAGATATATAGCTACAAAACCTGCTCACTTCCAACACCTATTTGACTACTTCAATGTAGTAAAAAACGAGTTTATATGTAGAAACGTTTTGGTGATTTAGAAGTGTAAAATCGTAAATTTTTAACTGAAATTTTTAACTATGAAAATTTAAAAGCTGAGATTTTGTGTCAAAACATTTTAGTAACATAAAAACGTAAAACCATAAATTTTTAAGTTTTAAAACAAGAACTACGCTTCCATCCATTCTATCTCCAACTGTTCCGTCCGTCTGATTCGGATGCCTCCATCTCCAACACCGCCGCTTCTCATGTGTCCCAAAGTAACGACCGCGCACTTCCCAACCAACATTTACCATACTTTCCTTTCCCTTCTGCATAAATCCGAGTCTGCCTTAACAGTTCCCAGTTAGCTAAATCAGTCTTCCCGCCTGCATCTCAGTCAGAGCCATCGCCGGCGGATTGTTGATTAGCGGCTCCCGTCTGCCAACGATCTACCCACAATATTCGGCAGTAATTATGAAGAGGAAGAAATGGTCGGAACTGGAAGAGCAGACGCTGCTGACCAAGTACAACGATCTCCTCGCTTCCGGCAATCTCTCCAAGCTCAAAACCCGCGAGAAGAAGTTCCGACCAATCGCCGACCACGTCAACGCCGTCCACCATCTCCACGACCCTGCCGCCTTCCCCTTCAAGTGGTCCTGGCGGGACGTCTCCATCAAAGTCCAGAACATGCGGCACCAGTACCTGGGCGTGAAGCAGAAGATTCGAATCTCCAACGACGAGTTCAACTGGAAGGACGGCGAGAATCACTGGGAGAATTTCCTCAAGTACAAGGAGGTCTTCGGGGACGTGGAGCTGGAAGTTAAAGGTAAGAAGTTCTTGAGCGACAGCTGTAGCAGTGATTTGTTTAGGGATTGTGGGGATTTAGGGTTAGGGATTGATAGTGAGGATTTGGAGGATGACGAAGAAGAGGAGGAGGAGGAAGATGGGGAATTGAGAGAAGGGGATAGTTGTGATGATGATGATGATGATGACGACCATAATTTGAAACAAGGGAATCCTGGGGATGATTGTAATGGCGCTGGTGGAGTTGGGGAGGATCAAGGTGTTGAATTATTGGGAGGAGAGAAGGTTAGTAATTGCGGCCATGGCGGCGACAGGAAAGGGAAGTTGAAGGGGGTTAGCAAGAGATTGGGATTGCTAGGAGCACAAGTGGTAGATTTGAGAGATGTTGTGGTTAGGAGGGAGGAGAAGAGGAGGGAAAGGGAGTTTGATCGCGAAAACGGTGCATTCGAATGTGAAGAAAGGAGGAGGAAATTTGAGTTCAGGAGGGGGGATTGGCAGGAGGAGAAGGAAGAGAAGCTAGAGAAGTGGGGAATGGAGCTGGAAGAGAGGGAGCTGGGTTGGGGAAGGAAGGAGTTTGAGAGGAGGTTGAGAGTGGAGAGAGATCTGGAAGAGAAGAGGAGGCAAATGAGGGCAATGGAGGAGAAGAGGGAAGAGGAAGAGATGGAGTGGAGGGAAAGGGTTTTGAGGCTGCAGATTGAACACGAGAAGACGATTATGCAAGTTCATGCCGAGGCATGCCACAACCAGATGCAGATTCTGGGAGTGATGGCTCGGCTTGTTTGTCAGTTTTACGGGTCAGCTGCGGATGGGTTGGGTGGTGGTTTGGGGGGATTGCCCTCTCAGGTCCTGCAAAATTTGCAGCACCCTGGAGGGTTGGGTGACAATGGGAAGCCTGATTCCAGTTCTCCTTCTGAATTCCTCTAAAGACTGCCAGTCATATCAAGAAGCACGGGATGCAGGAGAAAAGATTGATCACTAGTTTTTCTGATTAAACAGAAGAAGTGTTCACTCTTTTAAAGTCTTTGGCCCTGGGCCAGTGATGATCAGTCTTCAATCCTTCACGGCGAGAAGTGTTCTCTCTTTTACTCACTGTGGTACTGAATTGTAGCCATGTCCTGGGAAGCTGCTTGTGCTCTCTACTTCCTCTACTGTAAGTGAAATTGTTGTCTGTTGAGGTCTTCTGGTTTTCTTCAATGAGTTAGGTACTGGCCAGATTTTTGTCAAGAGGGTTTGGTTGGTTGGTTGGATGGATGTGTAGTTGTTTTATTTGTTGTTCTGTAAAAATGGGGTGGCCGGAACAATCCATTTCAAAGGGACATTCATGTCTTCCAAAGTAAAGACGAGGCAGAATTCCCAGTTAACATGACCATACGTTCTTTCAATGTCTAAGTTGAACACAACCACCTTCTTAACCAGACCGATGATGACACGACCGGAAGAGCAAAGCAGAGCAAGTTGCTGACAAAAAATCTCATGGTATCGTTTCCTTTTAACATCAAACGTAGCAATGTTTGCAGACATTTACATGCAGGCTTTCCTGGTGAGGAGAAGAGATAGGAGCAGAGGTGTTAGTACTCTTAACTATTGATTTCCTGTACACTAACTGAAGCGTCTGGAATTGGTTCCAATTCCTCATCTCGCTCCGGAAAAAATTGGATCGCCAGAGAAGAATCTGGTGCTCGACTTTGACACTTTCTTTACACAAAGATTTTCAGCACCACAAAAATTTGTAAGGAGTTTCGGATTCTCGAGCCTTGGTTCCACGGAATTACGTCGCAGAAACATTTTCCCTGAAAGCATAAACAGGGAGTAGCGTAAGTTTCCAGCAGGTGATCGAGACTGCTTAGTTAGCCTTATTGACAGAGGAGCAAAAGTTAACGTAAGAAGGAAGCACGCAAAAGGATGAATACCATGGCTGTGAGATCGAGACTGCTGGAGATGATGTATCAGCTCTTTGCTTCCCGTGTATGGCAGATTTAAGCACGTTGTACTGATCTGTGACAGACTCATACAGGGCCTTTGTGTATGCCTCCTTGGCCTAAAAACAGCCAGAGTATCATCATCATCATCATCATCATTATCATCATCAAAGAGGTATGAAGGAAACATGAACAGGGCATTAGACATGCTCAGCCCAGGAACGGACTTTCATTTTGACTAAAAAAAGGAGCACATCTACAACCCAGATTCAATTCACAAAGCAATGGATTTAGGAATGTGAGGGATGGGATTAGGTGCTAATCCTTATAGGGGTTAGCACCGTGATAACTAGCAAAAATCACTACGGATTATTATAAAATCAATACAACATCTAAGCTAAACACTACTAATTCAAACTAGTTGTAATTTTTCCCTTGGTTAGGACGGTGCTAACTATTGTACAATTAGCACCATAGCCGTTCCCCGTTCCCGGAAGGTGACAGGAAAGCCAAGTTCAACCGTTCATTCTTATCTCAACTAAAGCAAACTGGAAAATTGGTGGCAACTATAATTACCTGATGATAATCAAACTAAAATCCTAGACATCTATACACTTTTAAGGAACTAAGTTCAAAATAGTTCTCTAGTTTATTTTCTACAGAAATAAATTTCTGGCTTTACATAAACACATACGTGCAAGGTCAAATTTAAGCAGCGGTGACCTACCTGTTCAGGATTTTCATAAGCACCAGCAATTTCATCGAAGTTCGCTTCTGCCCCAACGGATAGCCCTGTTCCAGAAAAGGAAATCACCCTCTTCTCTCCGATTTCTTTCTCCACCTGTAGATTTATCAAGTAAACAACATGACAAAGGAAAAACAGAAAAAGGGGGAACAAGTCATATATTCATGTACATACCTTGGCAGGAGGCGGCATGATGTCATGGCATAATAGTGCCAGAGGATAGATGTGTGCTGGAGCACCAGTATTTTCAGCAAGCCTTCTCATATTGTCGACTGAAGATTTATCAAATGGTGCCTGCCCCACCAAACATCAGTAAGTCTGAATATTTGCATTTCACAGTAGTAAGAAGTGGGAATATGTCCATATTTAGAGGCCAGGTGAAGAACTTACGGGATGCCATTCTCCAGTGACAGGATCAGGACGATCTCTACCACCACTTGGTGCAATCCATATTATCTGTGACCCATTCCTGCATTATAAGTAACCTTAGAGAGCAATACTTTATTTCACTTGAAAACTCACGTACACAACAGAAGGCCAACCGAAAGGGCAAAAAGCTTCACATACATGAGAGCAAAATAATCAAGAAGCAAGTGATGAAATGAATTAAGACTGACAAGTTGAATGACCGTTCTCAATAGTATAGGACAGTTAACCGAATAACCAACTCGAATAAACAACAAGAAGACCTTATAGATACGACAATTTAACAATTTTTCATGGATAAGAGTTGAAAGACTAGTATCCAATAAAGTAAAAAAAGTTGTGTCAAAGATTCAGCCAGAATCCAATGAAGCATGATACCTCAGAAGCAGTGCCATCTCCTTCAAACTTCTTATATTTGCCTTTTGCTTCATCTCAGCAAGTTCAGGGACATCAAACATGTGCTTTTTTGAGTACACACAAATGAGATTCCTAATAGCATACAGCAATGAATTTTGAGATCTCAATAATGGACATGCATAATGGACAAAACATAGAAAGACCTATTACCTTCCCATGCTGAAGGGTTTGCAAAGAGGATCTGTTATAACCCTATCCCCTGCCACGTAAATCTGCAAAGATGTACAGATAGAAGCTGATTATGCTCCTATTGACAGCAACAAGGGGAATTTTCAGAAAAAGACAGATATCAGGCTCACCAAGTTCTCAGCAATGTGAGGGTTTGTTCTTTCAAGGAGCAATGCAATGACTGCTGGGTCTGCTTCAGTTTGGTGATTTGATATCAAGATAATGTTGTGTCCCTGTCATGAATAGCACAAAAATCAAAACCTCAAACAAAAAAACTGCCTCATACTTGTTCTAATCTATCACCCCCTTCTATACATGCATATACTAGCACTTATTATTCTTAGTTTTAAGTTGTCAATTAGGAATATTATTCTTTCAGGTTAATGAATAGTAAATGAGATAAAACAATAATCATGATTGTGAGAATGACAATGTTGCTCACTAAGTCAGACAAACAGTAGTCGATATGTTTAATAAAAAAAGAATCTTGAGAATTGATTGTTTCTGTTGAATACTACACTAGTACATCAAATTCCACTCACAAGTATTAGTTCTGAAAATTGGGAAAAGCAAGAAACCTTAGCTTAACGATTCAAGACAAAGCACAAATAGACAAGACGTTTTCAAGCAGGTAAAAGACAGGGTAGTTTATTCAAGTGTGAGTAACCAGTAACCCGTAGCTAACTGGAAAGGGCAACACTTGGAACAAGAAAAAGTCACTCGAAAAATTACCTGCTTAAGCTTGTGTTCCATGTCCTTAAAAATGCCTATGTTCCCAACATAAGAGTTTCTGTAGTAAATGCACATTCCACATTAGGTTCTATCTATGATTGATGAAAAATGGCTATGAAAAGTTCTAGATTGACCTGAAATCTATTAAAGGACGGATGTAATTTTGTCCAAATTCATAGTAGTCAAAAGGTTCCCTTAGTGCTTTGTGATGAGGGGGGAAGACAAAAGGATCCTGAAAAAAATGCAAATGCTCACATCAGAGGTTTCCCTGAGCAAATAATGTTTGATGTACAAGCATTTTAGCTGGCATACGGTAACCAACTTACCTCCACATCAATGAAAACTCGATCCAATACAAGAGACATGTTGGACAATACAATCTCACTTGCTTTTGGATGTCCACTTTGAAGAACCTGAAATGTGAAAGTCTCTGTAAGATAAGTGCAAATCCACCTTACATGTGCATGAATCTGTAATCTTCATGAAAGCTGATTTCCCAGAATAGAAGCACGTACTCCCCAAAATCAAACGACTACACAGAGAAAATGTGGAATTGTGCATGACTAAACCAACTTAACCTAGACAGTACATGAATGCATGCGATTCAAAAGTTCAAGGATATTTACTGCTGTTTTGTAATTCTGATACAGTTCTTCCATTCCTTCTGCGACAGTAGATGGCAGCCTTCCAGCATCTGCTTCCTTCCTGATTCCAGACAAGATATCTGCAGAAGTAGCACAGAAAAGATTAGGGAATGATCCCTTAGCAAACGTTCAAAAGTGAGGCACTGATGATGCATATGATAGCGGTTGTGTTGATACTGATAAAGTCATACACATAAACAGTCACAAGTATTCTCCCATACGTCTGCCTACTGTGCTCGTCTCCTCTTTTTTTTCCTTTTTATAACGACCCGCTTCCAAACTAATCCAGACGAAGCAGGGCCAAAAAAAAAAAAAAAAAAAAGAGCATCAGGACGAACACAAGATAGGCAGAAACACTTTATAGAGCTGCAGGGGAAACTCCAATTTAACAGACCTGTGCTCGTCTCCTCTTCATATGAGGACATTAGAGAGGTTTCCATTTACGTAGTAAGTTTCTTGAAAATTCACTCAAACAAAACAAGTGTGAGTACTCAAATTAATTCTCTATCAAAACGGATCTTTGAAATTCTGCACAAGAAGCCTTATTATATGGGAGCTACAAATTTAACCTGCAAGAAAACCAATGCTATTCTAATACTACTTCTCATACAAGACGTTAACTTACAGAAGGAAACAAATAAGAATCCTAATTAGGAACAGAGCGAGAAAGTAAAAAGTAAGCCACCACGGTCAAAAATATCCTGGCGATCGATAGCATGTTGCTGGCTCGATATGGTCCAGTGTAGGAGACTCAATCAAAGCGGAAAACAAGTAACTTAATCCTATCTGGCAAATCAATTACAACAGCGATCAGAAATCTTACTAGCACAGTCCCAGGGATGGTAAATAAAGCTACAGATTAGAAGCTAACACCTAACACTTCAAGCTCTGTCTCTAAGATGACGAATCATCTCTGCAGGAAATAGTCTCCTCATAAGACAGTTGTAGACTTCATTCCCAAATTGCAGAAATCTGTGAAACGAGCGCATTGAATACCACTGAACTTGAAGAACCTTAACAATCATCTCGCTCTCAAATTGAAATATAGAACAACGTCCTTTCATCAATCTAAGTTGCCAAATAGTAGCAATTCAACAATACCTCCATAAGTAGCGATGGATAGAGAACAAGAATAACAGCTAACCTTACCAGTAACAATGAACAAATGGAAAACGATTGGTACGGGCCTATTTATCGTGGACATCAAGCAAACACACAAACGCAAAGCATAACGTAACAAAATCAAGAAAAAAGAAAAAGAAAGACTAATACCGTAATTCACCTCCGTCAATCGATTCTACTAGACTTGAGAACAGGAGTAAGATGCACGCAATTCAGTTCCAAGATCGTCAAAGAAAGTTGCTCGATATGGAAAGAGCTCCAGCAATATGTAAACGATTCTCTTAGTCGTTTCTCAGTGCTTATGTGCTCAACCAGAAAGCAAGCTTAGCGGTGAATTCTATGGCGTAGCGGAGCAAAAGAAAACACGAGAACTGAATCAGTAATAGCTTGCATTTCACGGCCGCTCAATATTTCACCGGAACGGTAGGTGAGAGCTGCCAGTTCACTCACTTGTCACTCGAGTTTTTCTCAGCAGCCAAACAGAAGAAAGAAAAAGGAAAACCGAAACGGAAAGAAACCGAGAGGAGAGAGCACAGCTAACCTTCTTCGTTTCTTGCATCGAGGAAGGTACTGGAACTGCTCGCCGCACGGCCGCGCTTCTCGGCGGCGACTACTCGGCTGCCGTTGCTGCTGCTAACGAGCTCCGCCATCGCGCTGCCGTTGAGTGAAGAGAGGAGCAGCGACTGGCGGCGGGAAACGGGACTCAGCCGAGGAGCCGATTTCAGGACGAATGACGGAGTGGAGAAGGCAAAGCGCGGCGGCAGGAGGGAGCCGTGGCAAGAAAAGGACGCCGGAGAAGGGAGGGCGACGGCGGCGGAGGCTGGCGGTAGGTTGTTGGAGAGGAATGCGGAGGAAGAAGAAGGAGGGAAAGCGGATAAACTCATCATCTTTCTTTTCTCTCTATTTCGGAAACCGGCGGAGGAGAAGAATGGCTGCGAAAGAAGGCGTCGCTGTTCATATATGTTGTTGCGAATGGGGGGAAAGGAATGGGCAAAATGCGCAGAGCAATCAGAGAGGGAGAGAGAGAAAGGAGTAAACGGGATGAGGTAATTTTTCTATCTTGGTCCTTCTAATTTGACCTTTACTTAAATGAAAGTCCTACAACTATTTACCTATACACAATTGGCCTCTTAAAGTTGTAATTAGCGAAATTATGTACGTGAGATTTTGATAATGCATACACCGAGAGACGAAGGATGAAATACTGATTACGTAATTTTTACGGTTAGTCGGGATTACTAATGACATACATATAACATATTTATGAGTGAACACAAATATTGTATGGTGATTAGTAGAGCTAAACCTTGTTTAACGTGGAAAGGTTTAATGTATGTAACCATCCTAACATTATCCTAATGCAATAAATATTGCAAGAGGAATGCACTTGTTGTGATCATTTGAGCCAAAATGTAAGGGGCCGTCCTATAATGTTGTAGGCTAAGTAGCGACTGGTAATTTACTTTGAGCCAACACACTTGATTGAATAAGTTTCGTGCTCACCGATAAGGTGATAACAATCTCCGGTCATTTAAATAAAAATGTTACGCTAAAATTTGTAAGAAATGAACACGTATAGGGGTCATTGTTCTACGTCAAATACTATTTATTAGAGATTTCACATCGGGTTACAAATATTATGTGATATTTATTGCTTTAGACGGTCATTTCTTATTTTTAGAGCGATTTTCAGTTGCATAATTTGAAGACATAAAAAAATTCGAATAAAATTGGAATCCTGAATGATTGTAAATTCACATCAAGAACTCAGTATTGTTGCATTTGCATCACAGTCTTGCTTTACATACTGAACAATAAAACGATTAAATTGTCTATAATATTTTCACGCTCATTTCAATAAACCATGTTAGCAATTTAATAATTTTTCTTATTCATATTAGAGGATCATTAATATGATATGTATCTCGTTATATATTGTAACTTGGCATGTAACATAGGTGTTACTTATGATTAGAATCATTGAATCAGGTATCAGGAAAAATAAAATCTTTTAAAAACCATTACTAAATTCATATCTCACTCTAATTATTATACCTTTACATAATTATGTCCCCAAGTATTTTTAATCTATGTGATTTGGAGTCCACTACAACCAATAATAGCACTCAAAGTTATCAAGAGAAAAATATCACGCAATTCACCACTCAATTCGACGAGGCAACTTCAACAAACATCCCTAGTGGTCGTTTGCTTCATGGATTTCAATTGAGGGTTTTATAATTTAAGAATCCAAGGATTTATCAAGGATTTGAGACATTATGGATTTGTAACAATCCTTTGTTTGTTGAGATGTTTTTATCATGAATTTAAAGGTGTAGGATTTACTACTTGAAGTCAAAAATTACATTACTGTCCTTTTCTAATGTTTGACATGTTTATGATATGTACACAAAACAAGGACAAAACTTCAAAATTACCTTACTATCATTTTCTATATGTTTGACATGTTTATGATATGTACACAAAACAAGGACAATACATACTAATAAGCATAATGTTGCCACATGGACAATAATAATAAACGAGAAAATTCCGTTTTAACTTTTAACGTAACATAATCAATTACCAATTCTTTGTCCTCCTTTTCAAAAGTAACATATAACAACATATATTAGAATCGGGAGAACAAAGAATTACACGTTCCATGAAAAGGTCAAAGAAAACTAGAACACAAGAAATGATATAAAAAATCTAACTCATGTTTGCACATTAATTGAACGTTTATATTATTCATTTATTGTTAATTATAATGTATAATAGTTAAATTTGAGGGCAACCTTGGAATATTAAAAGTGCATGAGGGTATATGGGTAAAATCTCATCAATGATTTATGCCATATTCCAAATCCCACATCATAATGTGGGATTTATAAATCCGTGGGGTCCACCCAAAAAAGATGCAAGCAAACAACGGATTGTACCTAAATCCTTGATAGTTGGTCTTTTGGTATCAAATCCATGTACCAAATCCTTGAAGCAAACGACCCCTAAGTTTCAGTTCACTATACTATTCAGTAATATGGACTGAAACGTCAAGAAACGATATTTTGAGGGCTGAAGTAACGATGGAGCTTGGAAGAAGGGACTTATATGAAATTACCCGTCCAAATTTCTCGTGGCACTGTGAGCACGCCGGTTTTTACGGCGGAGCTCAACCAATTCGCGCCATCGGCATTTGGGAATCACACTCTGGCAGCACTCTGCTCTGTTTATGAGTTTATCCTTTTATTTTTAATTTTTAACTGCCTGCCAGCTCAGCTTCTGCTAAATCTCCGCGTGATCCTTATGGGCCTTTGGCCCAGAGGCCTAAATTCTTGGGCCGAAACTCGTGCGAGGAACGGAATATTTGACATTTCCCCTTCCTGCGTGCGGGAAGCCTGACTCAGCAGCGAGTTAGCGAAGACTGCTTACTCCTCGTGACGGCGAAGAACGATCAACAATGGTCTAAACTCTGAAAATTGCAGACGATTTGCGGCGGAAAATTATGCGGAAGCTCGAAACCTACCTCGCTGTCTCTTCTCCATCGATCTACTGAAGTTTCTTAACAGTAACAGAAGATCGGCCAGCTCTCTGCTAGATCTTCTCGGGAAACCCTCTCTGTAAGCCCCCGTCTTCTCTTCTCCATTTCACTAGTGATGAAGGTTTCGGTTCCTTTTTTTCATTCGATCGTTCGGTTCATGAATCGCCGGCGATGCTTACGCCGCCGTAGGCCAGGTTTTTCAATCGCCATTTCATAGCCGATTGAGATGAATCAAAGTATTCTTTTTAAGCCAAATCGGCAATTTTCTTGCTCAAATGAAACCCTTATGAAGCATTTGAAGCATTTTCATTAGGTATTGATGTGTAATAGCCAAGCAATTAGCTCTAGGGTGAGCTTTGTTAATAGTGTGTTAATGGGCATTTGTACGGTAATTATGAATGCATAAAAGGATTGACTTGGGGACCTAGCTTACAGTAATCCTGTATCCTCTCTCTCCATTGAGCTAATTTTGATATGAGATGTATTCTAAGAGATCTGATCTGGTCAATGCAGTGAGTTGAAGCAAAGGATTAGTATCCGGGGATGGCTTCTTACTCTAACAGAAGCCTACTCATACCTGAATCAGCTGCTGAATCACCACCTTCTCATCTGACCTGGTTTTACCCTGAGGAGCTCTTTGCATCACCGAAATCAAACTCCGGTTCGTCGGATGGAACCCAACTCAGCCATGAACCAGGTTCGTCTGTTGCTCCTATAAGTGCCATTCCAGCACCAGTCGAGCAGCCGGTGAAGGAAGAGAGCTCGAACAGTAAAACTTCAAAGGCTAGGAAAGCTACTTCTAACAAAGCTCATTCCAAGGCATTGAAACCAAACCAGTCAAAGAAGATGAAGAAGAAGACAAGCTCTTGTCCTGAAGCCAAGCGTGAGAAGAAGGACCTGAACGTGGATTTCCATCACGCGGACTTTGATTTCTCTGGTGTGCCTTCCCCAGTTTGCTCTTGCACTGGTGTCCCTAGAGTTTGCTACAAGTGGGGCGCTGGTGGGTGGCAATCCTCTTGTTGTACTATAAACATTTCCGAATATCCTCTGCCTATGAGTTCCACGAGGCCTGGTGCTCGTGTCGCTGGGAGGAAAATGAGCAATGGGGCTTATACGAAGCTCCTGCACAAACTGGCAGCCGAAGGCTGTGATCTGTTTTGTCCGGTTGATTTGAAGGATCATTGGGCTAGACATGGCACTAACAAGTTTGTTACAATCAAATAGACCTATAGTGTGCTGCTGTCACAGACATCTGGGAATGGTGCATATCGTAGTACATAGCACTACTGGAACCAGATAGCCGGAGCTCACCTTATTGTCTTGTTTTAACTAGTCCCTTGTAATTTTCTTTGGTGTTTTGTGTTGTATAGTAGATGTTGGCTCAATAGTAAATGTATCCTAGAACAAGTCAATTGGCTCACCTGTTATGTGTCTCTCCCATGGATTTGTTTGTCACTAGGGCAAGGTTGTTCATGGCGTGCCTTAAATTCTTGTTGCCAGAAAGGGATCGGTTTTAGGTTTTATCTGCAGTTTGTTTGAGTTCTGTCAGCAGCATTCTATTGTACAAGTAAGATAGGGCCTAAGATAACTTGATTCAGAAGGGAGGAGATGTATTGAAGGTCGATATAAAGGAGTAAACTGCTGAGGAAAAGCCAGTAACAGTGTTGGCATCACCATCAACTTTCATCGTTCATCTATGCTTTCTGTGACGCTACGACAATGCGATGGTACACGATTCTGATAACTGAATTATTGTCTTCTGCCTCTTTTTTTGCTTTCTGGGTTTGTTTTATACATATTACACAGCTCATTTTACGCGATTGAAGCTCAGAACAAAAGGCTGTAACTGAGAGTCAGAATAGAAGAACAGAGGAATAAGAATTTTATGTGGGGGAAAGGAGTTTGGTTCCTTTGGGGGAACTCAAGCTTTGGCCTCTACTGGAGATTTGGCCTTGGATGCGACAAGTTGCTCGAAGAGGTCTCTGATTTTCAAGCCGACGATAGTCTGGAAGAGACCCGTGCCATTGTTGCTGCCTGGGAAATCAGCATGCTTCAACATCTGTTGAGTGACTTCACCGTAGAACTTGGTAGAGAGGTTGCTCAGGTGGCTCTCCACATAGATCAGCTCGTCCAGTCTGTCGAACTGCCCGTCCATCTCCAGCACGGACACCTGAGAAAGCGATCCACCACGTAATCAAGAACATGGATCGCGTACTATGCAAAAGAACGAACCTCTCCAAAACATATCGAATCGTTGGGTTATCCGGCGAGATGAAGGGAAGGTGAGTAGTACCTCTTGACCGAAGTAGGTGTCGGGGCCGTACGTGAACTTGATGCCAGGGTAGGAGCAAGTGAGCTTCCTCCCACAGGGGATCCATGAGATGGTGGAGCCTTCATCGAACAAGTAGACCGGGTTGAAGAACTTGACGCCTTCCTTCATGATCAACCTCACCCTCAAAACCTTGCCCTCGTTGTCGTCGGGGATCAGCGTCGTGGGAAGCACCTCGATCACCGCGTCAGCGTACTGCTTCTGTGGATCTACATTACACATACATACATACATGCTTGTAAGTTCTCCATTAGTGTGTTCTCAAATAGAGCAAAGTTGGAAAATCTCCAAGTGATATGTAATACCAATGTAGGCGTCGAAATCGGGCTTTCGGGCTTCAATGCTCGCCTTGATGCTCTCCAGGCTGTGCCCTCTTTCAGCCATGTCCCTCTGCATCATACAAAAACGAGTTAATTGGTGGATTAGGGATGAACAGAGAGCATGTTTAGTAAAGGAATCTAGTTCGTTTTTACCTGAATTTTCCATGCAAATTTGACTTCATTGCTGATGTCCAAGTAGATGCTGAAGTCCAGCAGCTTCCTCACGCGCTCATCGAACCTGCAACCCCATAAATCATAATATTAAATTTCCACTCTTATCATGTTACAGGGATGCCCATGTTTGCGATCTTATCAAGTATTCAATATGCAACTGAATTCCAACAAGTCAAAAAGCTAACGTACTGATATTTAAGGAGAAAACTGTGTAACAGAATCCAAGAAGATTATGATTATGATTATCTCATTCCCATACTCGTTCGTATAGTAAAGCCCAATGACGCACTACAATGACTACACCTACATGAGGTCGGCTTAATTAGTTAAGCATTGCCTCCAAATAACCAATGATATTATTTGGAAGTAATTCGTATCACATGTCAAATACAATATGTGAATGGTTCAGTCAAATGAGATATTTTAAATACCGAATACTAAATTATCACTGCACAATTAATGAGTTATTTCACTCTATATATACCATACTAACAATTAATCCATTCAAATGACTCTTAAATGATAAAAAAAAAATTAGAAGAAGAGAAAGAAGAAAGACCGTCGTTTTTAAAAGAGAATAGTATAAAATTCATAATTAATTTTGAGTAAATATAATTTATTAGCCAAACATTTCAAATTACTAACCAAACCTTTCGAAATATCGAGTATTAACTACACGCTAACTCCGGTTGTAAATTTTGTTAGTAATGCTGACTTGACAACTTTATACTAATTTTGAAGAGAAACGTGCTGGTCAACTTTATAAAAAAATTTAGTATTTTAATTAATAAAAGAGTTACAATTTATTAAATTGAACAAACAAATTAAACGACTAATATTTACCTCATAGTTTGTATTTTCAAGTTAATAATTTGAAATTTTAGTTAGATTTAACTATTTTACTCATTAATCTTCTTCCAAGAACTAAAATTACCACCTTTCTTAATTAGTCTCTAAAGTTTCTCAGCCTCACATTGGGAGGAAAACTCCGGGGCCGGCTCCATTGATGGTTTCCTTATCTTATCAGGATCAGATTTTTACGAACACACTCCCACCTCACAATCTCAGCCACCTATATTGAACACTTCCGATACAATCTAAGAGCTCTATTGCATGCAAAACAAAAACCAAACCCATATAATTTCAATATACATTCATAATCATTGTTATTAGTGTGATTAATTCCAATCACACGTCTAAATTGAGAGCTTCATTTCATCACAGTACTTACATTGGGTGGAGGCCTTCGATGACGAGGATCTTGGGCGGCTTGATAACCTCGGCCGGGTCAAGCAAACCCGTGACGTGGTTGTAAATGGGCTTCTCCACCGCCACGCCGGATTTCAAAGCCTTGACCTGGTCATACATCAAGTCAAAGTCATTGGCTTTTGGGTCCAGCGCCGTGACGCCCTTCTCCTTCCTCCCCGTCCGGTCGAGGGAGTGGTAGTCGTCGAGGCAGATGACGGTGGTGGTGTCGCTGATCAAAGTGTTGGAGTCCGGGTTCCCGCCCTTGGGCGGCTCGGCGGCGCCGCCGAACACGCTGGTCAGCCGCCGCATGAACGTGCTCTTCCCGCACCCGGAGTCCGCCGCCAGGCCGATCACCACGGTCCCTGCGCCGTCGGAGGAGGCGCATGTTATCACGGTGAAGCCGCGGCGGGGGCGGGGGTGGTGGTGGGTGGTGGTGGCTCTCCAGCAGGTTCTTCTGGCGAAGGAGACGGCGGCGTCGTGGTGGTTCTGCTGGGGGATGATGGAGGAGGAGTAAGTTGAGGAGTTGAGTGGTGTGCAAATCGCCATTTTTCGGGGTTTTCTGGCTAAGCTCACTTCACTGAGTGGTTTTTTGGTGAGTTGAGCTGAGTTTTGATAGTCTTTGTGTGGACACTTTTTGGTTTGGTGGATTTTTAGTTTTTAGTTTTATTTTTATTTTTGTTTTTGTTTTGGATATTTTTGTCAAAGTGGGAGGGTTTGTATGGTGGTGAGGGGAAGAGTGTTTGGGGAAATGGATGATTGTGTTGTTGGTTTGTCTTGTTGTTTTATGGGTTTCTATGACTGGAATCGGTTTTGGACAAAGTTGGAGGTGATATTGAGGATTGCATTTTTTGGTTTTTGGGTGGCTTGTAGTACTTGAGTTTGGAGTAGCGTTAATTATTGGTTGCTGAACTTAGAAAGGTATTGTAGTATTAGCTAGATCACACATTGCATTTGCATGTTGTTCAATTCTATTGTATCTCCTAACAATTTATTGATTTTCATGAATTTGATGGTTCCTGTTAAGATAATTAAATTTTTTATTTGAGTGTTTCAAATTAAAATATTCTCCACAACCTCAATATCGATTAACGACTAACCATTAATGTGGATCTCAAGTGTACGTATGGTGATGATTAACACAATGTGTTTTAGGGTTTGAATTCACATAACCTAACATTATAAGCAGACGAGACGTCATTTGGTATCATGAACTCGAGGCACCCGAATCCATGGATTGATGAGTAGGCATGTGCGTTGAGATTATATATATCAAGATTTGAAGAGCCATGCGTCACAAATTTGATATCTCAAGCTTGATTCCTTATAAAGGCTTTTATCAACTCCGGTTATGTAAAGCCTTATGTTCACCATGGTCTATCACAATTCACAAAGGACGAAGGCCCGGGAAAAGAGAGGAAAGCGATTGAATTGTGGGTTATGCGAAAGACGAGAAGAAGATGATCAGTCGTGAATTTGGATACACTAGTAACTATACGTGCTACTACTATAAAGACGAAAGGATGGTGACCATGGCTGATCCAATTCTTTTTTCTTTTATCTTTTCCCACTTTCAAATGGTTGAGTTTTGGATATTGTGGTGCGCCACGTGGCATAAGGAGGATGGTTTTGCTGAGGATTAGAGGTATGGGGTGTAGAAAATGGAATGGGGTGGATGGATGGAATATCCTTTTTTTTAAGGCCACTTTTCCAACTTCTCTAACCTCCACCGTATATGACATCATCACGCCCTCTTTCATTTTCTCGTTCTCTAATAATTTATGGATTTTTTTTTTGTGAGAAATAATTTATGGAATTTAATACAGTAGTAAATATTATTATTATTATTATATCATCGCCAAGTCTGATGTTGATTATTGAAGGCTATTATTATTATTAGGCAAAATATACTTGTATAACCAAAACTTTTACGTTTGTGCCACTTATAGTCAATTATTTAACGCTGTTAACGTTAAGTGTGACGCAAACAGAGAGGCTTATATGGCCAACACTTATTTATTTCCCTTTTTCTCTACTTGTCCATGTGGATGATGGCTATATCTGGCACGCAACATCTTTAAAAAGTGGTTATAAGTGGTATTTCGCCAAAAATGACTATAAATGGCACAAACGTAAAAATTTTGGCTACACAAGTGTATTTTGCCTTACTATTATCATCGCCAAGTCTGATGTTCATTATTGAAGGCCCAAGGCAACGGGGTTGAGGCTTGGATATGGTGGAATCCATTGTGATTAGATTTGGGTAAGTGAATTTGGCCGTCATGGGCTATGATAGGCCCAAAGAAAGATGTTACCTTTTTGGGCTTCTGGCCTACCAAGTGAAGTGCTATCATAATCATAATCATGCCGCTAAGACTATCCTCAACGCCAGTCAAAGGCCCCTTCCTTGTGACGTGGCATTTTATTTGCCTCTTCCATGGATGTGGGGCCTATTTCATAAAGTGAGATCTTCCACTTAATGAAATAGCAAATGGAAGAGCAAGTGGGTGGAGAGTGGGCTCCATCCCACATTTAATGGTTTTTTTTTTCATTTTCATTTTATTTTGAAATTATACTTTTAATAACAAATGATAAAAAAAGGAAAGGCATTTTTTTATGTCTGTGTATGTGATGTTTTTTTTTCATTTCCTTTTTATCAAATTATCGAAAATTCATTAAGTTTGATAAATTAAATGTGTAAATTCTGAAAGTGTAATACGAAACAAAGTTTGAATAAAGCTATAATATATTTTTCAATGAATTAGTAAATTTATTTCATTATTGATAATCAAATAATTACAATATATTATTTTAATTATTTGATACATCTTAAATTAGTAAAATCATATAGATTAGATAAAATGTGTTGATGTATTAAAAAGAAACCTGTACCCACCATAAAATTCTTCTCCCCCTCCATATTGATGTAGTAACAAGTCTTTACCGATACGTGAAGTGAATGCGTGAGGCAGCAGTAGAGTGGAGCCTGGTTTCCAACTCCATCCAAGCTCCAGAGATATGATCAGCAGCATCAATCTGATGCGGTTTCTGGAATCTTAAATTCCCGGCATCAATACCAACCTCCTTCAACGAAGGCGAGGCCATAATGATGTGATGTGTTCAGCGAGCTCCATTTAGGGTTTGCGAGGATCAACACATTGCTCGTACACGCTTGGATGCATCCCATGTAGCTGGAGCACCTGCAGAGACTGATGCTTCCATGCCGGTGCCAACTCCTCCTCTCCTCTGCACTATCCTCCCAACTTAGATAGCCAATCGAATGTACGAACGACATCGATAGCTCGCGCAACATTGGAGCTGCCCTCAACAGGACCGTACACTCCAACATACTAGCAGTGGCAAAATGCATATGAATGGACAGGTCCAGCACCTTGAGCATTTCAAACAGCAGCCATTCAGGAGGGGGGGGGGGGGGGGGGGGGGGGGGGGCGAGCAAGGCGAGGTTCGAAGTTATAAGTTGAGACTTGAGAGGTCGTACTTGAGAAGCTGCAATCGAGGTGCAAACTTGTCGAATTGAGAACGAGACCAGGGGAATTAACTACTATCAATAGCAGATTGCCCTTGGCTACAGAACCGAAGCTCCTGAAGTCGTTACCGAATTCCTAACTAAGATTATTACCGGAAAAGTGAGTGGTAAGTTAGTTTATACTAGAACCGTGGTTTAATCTTCGTATAAAGAAAGCTAGTAGATAGACTCATAAGACTTGCAAGGATTGGGGGCAGAGATTAATTTGGCTGCTCCCGGCTTCCATTTACCCGCCACTTGCTTAAACCATGTCATGTCAATCAACTCAGGACGAACAAATACAAACAATTCACTTCATACTTGAAATGCATTCCTATGTTCATATGGAAAAACAGCTCACTAAGAGATTAAACAACTGCTAAGAGATAGCCGGTTCTATCAATCCATTTTGGACAAGTATAAAATGCCTACATTCGTGAATCATTTCTATTGTCAAAGTTCCTGTTTCTCTGTTGCTTCAATCTTCCTTCTCCTTTGGCACTCAATGGGGAGAGCTGAGATAACTGATGGGCTTGACTTGTTGTAGGGCTCCCATCTCAGCTCTCATGAACTCTTGCCAAAAATGTGCATTCACCCAGCTCAATTACAATGATATCGATGTTTCTTTAAGTCAGAGGATATAGGAAAGAGCAGTAGAAGGCACAGTAAAAATATATCTATGTACAGAAGACAAGCAGCAAAAAACTTACATACAGAATAGAAGAAGCAAATGTTGGTTTGTGTTCAGAAAACAACAAGCGAAGACTAGGCCATCGTTCATTAGTCTTCATGTTGCTGCGTTCGATTCCATCTGTACGAACCACCATTAGTTTCCTACAGAACATTCGATAAGCACAGAAGGCCATATTCAGCAGCAACTGATGCCCAACCAACCGAGACCGTCCCTTACAATTGCTGGAAGAAGAAAGCATCCATTCTAATTCCGCCAACATTCCTAAACACGGAACATGCTAGATCTTGTATATAACCCCATCCACAATTCACAACAATGCCTCCCAACATTTCCATGGCAATGACCAATAACAATAGTCCAATTTCTCAATGCCATTGATGATCGCATATCATAACCAGTGGCTGTACAGCTACAACCATTTCACAGACACGACAAAAGAAGAAAAGAAAAGAAAGAAAAAAAAAAAAAAAACAGAAACAACACAGTTTTACACCACACTAATAGTTAGTCCTTGCCTCTCAACCATCCTTATGCTCTCCTTCTGGGAGAAGTTGCAGGAGAATCCGGTGACTGGTAGTCGGAAATAGAAATCAGTTCAGACATGTACTTCTCAACCCCTCCACCATTGCTCATATCTGCTGCCACTCCATCTTTGTTGCTGCTGCTCAGAGCTTCGGAATCGGTGTCAGCATAAGAGTTGTTCAGATCTTTGTCTGGCACAGAATATGATATGGCAATGAGAGACTCTCGCGCCACCTCCTCAGACACCTCTTTGCACGGTACCTCTGTATCCATATAATCTCTAATCCTTTCCTGTATCATTTTTCACAAATCAAAACCTAAAATTAGGCAGTGAACAGCAGAGGAAGATGAACACAACTTGCCAAAATGAGATGAAGCATAGACATGTTTCAGACCACAACCCAAGAAGGAAAACCGGTCACCAGCTAAATTCGCATATGGTGCAGCTTAAGGTTATAACAAATGGTCAAATTATTCGCATATTGATCAATTCCAAGTAGTTTCTCAAGATTTCCAATTACGCCAACATTAGGGTAACAAACAAAAATTCTCTCAGTTCCAAGAAGTTGCTCAAGATTTCTAATTATGCCAAAAACACTGGAAGCCATTAATGCAGCATTCTGATAGCTAAAAAGGAGCCTTACTATACAAATCCTTAATCAAAACTAACACCATTTGACACAGGTTTCCAAGCTAATTAGAACACAGAATGACAGAAAACTATCAAACCATAGCCACCCAATTTCTAGAATCATTCACATACAGAACCAGATAGCTCCAATAATCAAAATGGAGCTAGCTAGCTCAAAACTACTCTCTAATTCCCCATGTGTTTCCCCCACCTTCCTTCCAACTACTTCAAAACAAAACAAAATCCAAACTTTCGCCTTCCTTTCCTCCTACCCCAAAACCCACCTACCAATCAACAGAACCACACCCCAAAAAGTCCCTATTAAACAAACAGCAGCTAAATATCACAGGTCAACGGAATCGATATCCACCAATTGACAGCAAAATGAAAACCTTAGAAAGGGTAATACTGAATTAGAACATGGGGGAAGAAGAAAAACCCCCGGCTGAAAATCGACCAACCTTGTCTAGTCTACTAAAATCTTCCCCTCCTTCTCCTTTCAAGAACTTTTCTTGGGAACCAAACAGAGGGAGAAGGGGGAAACAGCAGATCAAGGAAAGACGGGATCAAAATCAAATATCAACATGGAAATTTGAAGATTTTGTCTTATGGGGGGAAGGAAAGGAAATCATAATGGAGATTGAGGGGCAGAGATTTCCGAATTTCGGATTCGGAGAAAACAGTACCTTTTGCTGTTCTACGGACGGTTGCCCTGAGTCTACGCTGCCCTGTCTTTTCCTTCCATCCGTCTAAAAAGCCCAAAGCTTTATTATCTTCGTCTTTTAAAACTTTCTCCGTTGTCTGGTCTGGTCCAATTTGGTGGCTGCAGGTTTATTTACATTTTTACCCTGCCGGTAAATGGCGTGTTCTTAATTCTTATCCGCTGGCTTGGCGCTGGCGGGAGTGGAGGGAATCTTCGATCTTCTGAGCTTTCTAGAAATTACGAAAATGATTCAAATTTATTGATTTCCTTAATTGACGGGCTTAAACTTGTTTAGTGTGTCCTAATTTCTCGTGCGGTTGAGTAGGGACGGGTTAGCATGCTAACGAATTGGGACCAAAACAAAAAAGGTTCTTCTATCGAGGAAGCCCGCGCTTCTTTTGTTGAAGGGGTTGGTTTTTTTACACCCCTTTTAATTGGTCAATTTTTCATTAATTATTGACATATATTAATGAAAGTAAACATAATAAATGTTCTGTTATTAAATACAAAGTAAGCATTAAATACACCACGTTAATTACCACTTTACTGGTATTTGTACCACTGCACTGATACTCAGATATGACATTGCTACTAGTGCACTGATATCGCTACCAGTGCAGTGGTACAACATATCAGTGCAGTGGTATATCTACCAGTACAGTGGTACACCGTATCAGTGCAGTGGTATATTTTTTGGAGGTGGTCGGAGAGAGTCTGCCGATGGGATTTTTACCGGATAAGTGTGGCGGTCGGAGGAAGTCTGGTGGTCAGAGACTGCTGAAAAAGGAAAAATCAAATATAGTGAGAGAATTCCTAATGTGTATTTAATGTGTGTATTTAATTCCTAATGTGTATTTAATAGTGAGAGAATTCCTAATTAATATGATACATTTAATTCCTAATGTGTATTTAATGTGTGTATTAAATTCTATAGTTGTATTTAATATACTAGGACGTGTCATTTTTCCAATCCCGGGGTTAGCATGCTAACCGACCCCGGTTGAGTAGCTTTTACTGATAAACATTAATTAATACGTATTTTGTGGGTTTTAATTAATATATTTCCACTTGACAAGTTGATCCCCAATGAAACGAACGGACTCAGTTATTATTGATCCCAAAACCCGACAAAAAAGATACAACATATGAGTAGCTAGCACGTGAGCTGGGAGACAGCTCATATCAGGATGGTCATCAATTGGTCTAACAACTTGCATTTCGTCCCACTAAAAAGCTAAAAGTACACACATTAAACACATTGATTATCATACGATGTTATTGAGGCAGACTCCGTTTCAACTTGTGTTGAATCCTGGTTAGGGAGTACAGTTTTTTTTTATGTGTCGCAATCTCGTGACATCAATACAGATTTTAGGTATTACCAAATAACGTCAATATATGATTCAATGTTGGAGTTGAAGAAGATTGCGGAACAGAAGCACAAAATATATTTGCTGAAGTGTCAACTCCTTCATCGCTTGATGGGTAATGTTGTGGTCAAGTCAATCTGCGAGGCCGCCTGTCATAACCGGACAGCTCAATTAGTACGATATTGTCCGCTTTGGGCCAAGCCCGCACGGTTTTACTTTTGGGTGTCCTCCCCAAAAGGCCTCGTACTAATGGGGCTAGGTGGACTCTAATATACAAGGGTCCCTTCCCTTGTATTACCGATGTGGTACTTGGATTGTCCCATAACAATCCTCCCCTCAAGACAAGGACCACGAACTTCGTGTCCTCACCTCAGCGATTATCTTGATCCACCAGATGCCTTGTATCGATGGGCTTCTCGACACAAGGACTTTACCAGACGCAGAACTCTCTTTGATCTGCTTCCCAAATGCGGAATTCTCTTTGATCCGCCAAGCCCAAACGTGGATCTCTCCTGGATCCACCAAACCAGACGCAGATCTCAAACCCCGAGGTCACCGAACGAGGGTCCACCGAACTGACGTCCACCGCCTGCACCGAAACTAGGCTCTGATACCACTTGTCATAACCGGGCAGCTCAATTAGTACGATATTGTCCGCTTTAGGCCAAGCCCGCACGGTTCCCTTCCCTTGTATTACCGATGTGGTACTTGGATTGTCCCATAACACCGCCCTTAGATGTTCAGGGTGTCATACTAGCTCAAGTCCCTTTTATTGTCCCTCTGAGTTTCGTACAAGTGATCGTGCAGTTTTCAGGATTGACGATGCAGGCCCCAATAAGCAAGCATGTCAATCTTGCATTATGCCTGCGGTTGTTGCCTGTCAGGTTGATGGTATGAGCGAACCATCGGAATTGGTTGTGAGTCAACCATGTTGGGTCGGTCTCCACCCCAGATCTACGTCTCAATGCGACTTCATGGTCATTTGGATGATCTTTTTATAATGGTGAACTAATATTAATAAAGAGATGTCATTTGGCTTATCTTACTATGAACTTGCGTCACCCCTAACAAGATTCGTCGTTTTAGGCACTCCAGAGAAACTAGCAGGCTACCACATATATGATATGCACGGACGGTTATGAAAAAACGGAAAAAGATACATGAATTTTTTTTATCTCATCGAACTGAGGGAAAATACCACTCGAGTAACGCCCATGATCAGCGAGGAGGTAGCTCCCTAGTTGCATTCACCATTGTTGTTGTCACCCCCAACATTCTTTTGCGCTTGCTAACCTTCACTGGATATATGATGACGCCTTAATTGCACATATTTATTCCATCATTTCTGGGACGTTTGAGATTAGTGTCTTGCATATTGAGCTTATTATATGCTATGTTGTGCTTGCTTGGTACATTTAAAATCCTAGCAGGTAAAAGGAGGCTCACGTGCAAGTTTCAGGTCATTTGAAGACCATTTGCGATTTAAAAGTCAACCAGAGACAAAAACACGAACATGCCATCCAAAACGCATCCGCGCGTTTCACACCTAGAATCGAGCTCCAAGCGAATAGTGAAAAGTTGGATTGGGAGTATTAGATACTCATCCCACTTTTGCCTTTTTCCAAATTTAATTCCCCAATTGGAAACTGTTTGGTGGAGAAGTGAGTATTATTGGATATTGGATATCAACTTTTTGCATTCTCCCAATCCATGTTTGGCGTTGGTGTGCCCCGTACAAACTCGATGAAGTATCCATTTGAGTATTTGACGATTTCCAATCCAATGTTGTTGAGCCGTACAAACTCTTCTCATCCAACTTGAACCCCAATAGGGTAATGCTGTCCGAATTGGGCTACTATTCTACTGAACTTTCCAGTCCTCTAGATAAACATAGCCCGCACCCCAATGAATGGGCTTGCTCTTTGTTGTTTGTGGGGGGGTATTCAAGACGTGCTGGGCTTTTCTTTGCTCTTCCCTCGCGTTCAGCTCCTTGAGACGAGGAGGATTTTCGGTTGCAGGCAGCAGCAGCACGTTTTCTCCAAATCTGTTGGTGCAGCACAGAAATCATTCTCTGCATTACACGTATCTTTCGTCCCCCAATCACGCTCTGCATTACCCCATTCAAATCCCACGTGATCTGCAGACAGATCTCTCTAATTACTATGCCTAATTAAGTTAAAATATCTTTTGGGTCAGTCCTAGCTAGCTAGCTAGACGGTTTAATTAACACATGTGTTTTTTTTTTTTTTTTTAAAGTCATTGGAAATTCATTAAAATGAACCCAGGAGATACACAGATTTTGGGCCCAAGGAAAGACACAAACAAACATAGAATGGGCCATCAAGCCATACAAAGAGAGAGCCAAGGCCCAACAAATATAGCTTAAACTAAACCCTAGCAACCCAATCAGTCTCAAAGAGAGCAGCCGCCTCCCAAAGAAAAACGGCCGCACAAGCCCCATCGGAGAATCACAGAGAACGCCGGCGAGGAGACAAGCCGATGAAGACAAAACCACCGGACAACACACGAATCCAAAAGCAGCCTTCAAGAACCTCCCCAACAAACGAACTCAACTTAACCAACCGAAGCAAGCACCAGGAAACGACCAGGAGCCTATGTTGAAAGATCTCCGCCTTCGAGCTTCATGAAGCAGAACCATGGGAGGATCACAATAGGATTCCCAAGACAACTCCAAAACACCAAGCCGCAGCGGTGAAGCAAGGAGGGGGCACAGAATCATGAAGGAGAAGGCAGATTGAGGAAAACCCCAACCTCCTCTGTGATCAACAAAACATCTCAGAGTAGATCTAAAAGATCATACTTGAGGAAGAAGAGGAAGCACCCTTCATGGAGAAAAGGTGAGAAAAAGCTCCTAAACGGAAGCGAGGAAATCAGAAGGCATGAAGGAACAAACGAAACGCAGAAAAAAACACAGAGGGGCTACCACCGGCCTCTTGAAAGCACCTGCGGCAGCCCACTTAAATTTTAGATCTGAAAAGTTTAGAGAGAAGGGAGAGGGTTTGAACTATAATTTTTTTTTTTTTTTGTTTGCAGGTACTTAATTAACACATGTGTTATTATTGAATATTGATCACCATCCGCGCGACTAGGGCATCCCGCTAAAGGCCCAATCCCAACGTACTTTGCCTCTCTGCACAGGGGTAGGGCCGAAACAATAGTTAGGCCCATGACTTTGGGCCCGAAATGAAGGAACGGGAAACATGACGGCAAGAAGTGAAGGCCAAAAGCCTTGTCTCTCTTTGTCTGTGTTTTACATATATTGTTCATTATGAGTTACTAGAAGGGTCCCTAATTTTCAAGTAGCTACGCTGTTGAGTTATATCATAATAATGTCTTGCATAGAAGTAACGACTTGATCATTGATCCAATACGATATGCAAATTTATGGGGGAAATTTCAGGATATGTGGTGGTAACTTAGGATATCAGTTCGTGGAGCGGGAGCGAGAGCGTCAATTTTAAAAGAAGTAAATTTTGAGAGCGTGAAGAGAGCGTTATTAAAATATTATTTTTTTATAAAGGGTTAATATCTTATTTTGGTCCAAACTATAACCATATAATCAACTTTGGCCCATGATATCAGAAATTAACATCATGGCCTCAACTATGCAGCATATAGACTCAATTGGCCCGACACATAGTTTGACCGTCAATTTGGAGGGTCAACTCCGTTGACCGTTAGTCAACATGCCATGTTATTGCCTATTCAGCATAAAAATCATTAAAAAAAATTCAAATTCAAATTATTTTCCTAATTTCTATTATTTATCATTTTCCAAATAACCAAAAAATACAATTCTAAAAATATAAAATAATTTTTTGGGATATTTGAAAATGATAAATTTTATAAATTAACCAAAATTATCAAATTAAATTTATAAATTAAAAATTATGATATAAAATATATTTTTTGGGAAGTTTTAAAAATAAAAAATAATTTGATAACTTTTGGTTAATTTATAAAATTTATCATTTTCAAATTATACAAAAAAAACTTATTTAATGTTTTTTTATAATTTATTTTTGGTTAATTTGATAATAAATAATTTTTTTAATGATTTTTAGGCTAACTAGGCAATGACATGGCATGTTGACTAACAGTCAACGGAGTTGACCGTCCAAATTGACGGTCAAACTATGTGTCGGGCCAATTGAGTCTATATGCTGCATAGTTAAGGCCAGGATGTTAATTTCTGAAACCACGGGCCAAAGTGGATTACATGATCATAGTTCGGGCCAAAATAAGGTATTAACCCTTTTATAAACTATTTACTATACACTTCGTATTTTGAGCGTATACAAATACTTGTAATTGTAACAAGATCTATGCACCAATAGTCCAATACTAAATCCAAATTAGTCAACATCATATGTCTCATTATTATTAAGATTATATCTGCATGCAAATCTGAAAATATCAAACACTAGAAAATATCTCGTAGATTTTAATATTTAGTTGGGCCGTATTCCTTGGAGAGGCTCGTTTCTTACTCTTTGATTTTATCATAAAGTCATGTTCTTTGGTCTTCGCCTTCTTCCTCTGCGCTCTGCGACTGCTTCCCGTTTCCTCTACTCTGTTTTTCCTTTCCTTTTCAAAGTTAAAATCCCTAAAAATAAGTCAATCCCAGTATGATTTTGGGTCTTTAAAGTCAAGATCCTCTCTTCAAGTTTGTCATCGTTTATTATCTATCTCTTTTAGAAGTTGGGTCTTCTTTCTCCCTTGCAAGCTTCCTCCCTTTCATATTCGCCAACCTAGAAACCAGCCGATGTCCCTGATCTATTAATTTTGGGCTGTTATCCAAAACTTTTCTCCCTACGATATTGTTAATCGCCAACAAATTATTGTTCCCCGCGAAGTTCAAAACCTCCAAAATCAACAAATTCCCTTCCTTTTCGGCTCCGTACATCAACCAACAAGCATCTCCTTCACTAAATCGACGGACTCCTTCCTGGAATCTCTCCCTCTCCGTCTCTATAAAATGAATCCGTGAATTATCCAACAAAATTCGCGCTCTAAATAAAAGAAATTCGCGAATTATATGCAAATCCTTTGAAATTCGCGTTTCTGCGCGCTAGAGCGGGAGCGCCGACCCTTCCTCTGCGAATTGTGTGACCTAAGTGGTAACTAGTGGCCAGTGGCGATCCAGAGTTAGTTTAGTGCTTATAAATTTTTTCAATTTATGTATTTGACCCAGTGCTAGTTAAAATCCTGTCTAGTTTTATTTGATAATAGAATTTTGTGTAACTAGGAAAATGGTTCAGATGTACATATCCAAACCATCACTCTAAATTTATACTAAATTTTCTATACCCCAAATGATTTTATTTGAAAAAAGAAATGAAAACCTAAAAGTGTAAAGTTTCATTAAAATAAAATAAAAACTCTAAACTAAAGCACACTCATCCTTGCAAAATTCAAAAAATTTCCCAATCCCCTCAAAACAAAACAAGAACGAGGAGACGGGCAGACCCAAAATGGATTTCTCCTCCAGCTCGTCGAGCTGGTTTTCTTTCCATTCTTTTGATTAAGAAAATACTTACAAACTTGCTGAGTTATCATTTAAATTGCCTCAATTGAGTGGGGCACTAGATTCTAACCGTTCTTTCTGGTGTTTTGATGAAAAAAATATTTACAAACTTGCTCAAGAGTTTAGCCTCGAGATTTTGAAGGTTATGAGATGCATTCTTTGGAGAATGCACTACTCATGTGGGGAAGATGAAGTTTCTTCTCTTGCAAAATTATTAGAGAAGCTGGAGGAAACAGGGATGGACACACAATACAAATTGATTTGTCGGTTGCTTTGTCTAGTGTTGACCTAGCCGTTTCAACAACTACCATGGAGAGAATATTTTCAGCAATGGAACATGAACATTGATTTGTGCAACAAAATGAGCGATGAATTTCACGTTGATTACTTAGCTATTTTCTTTGAAAAAGAGTATATTA